ATATTTTGTTTGTTTGTTTCAAAACATTTTGGATTTTCATGACACAGAAATATTGAACTGTAATTATATTTAACTCTTCAACAGTATAGTCATCCAGTCATCCTGGGGCAAGATGAAGCGATAAAGTTGTATGGAATTAATTGCAGTAAACTCTATTTATTATTATTTTTGAAATGTATTACAAGGATTTCTTTTTTTCATTTTCTTGATCATCGCCCACAAATCTCGATCTAAAACCGAAATTCATATACCTGACAAAGTTTCCTAGAAAGATAAAAAACGTAAATGTAGAAAAAGAAGAAGAGATTATAAAGAATATAAAACAACAAGAAATTGTTGTGAAGAATAAATATCCAGTCTTCTCTTCATCATCCTCACAATTTTACTTCAATTATCACCCAAATAACAGATTCCATAAAATGTACTGAATGTTGAAGATACCAAATATTGAATAATGATGATTCTAAATACTGATTGTTGACTGGGAACTTTATTTTCCTTCAATTTTTGTGCCGACAACAAAAAATTCCTTAAAACCAGCATTTAGACAATAAACACTATCACAAGGGTAACTTGATAAAAATATACATCTTCTGTTGCTTTACTTCCAAACATTCTTATCGAAAATCTTCAGTCAAATACATGTACCATATATCTTCATGTAAATTTTCATTGTCCAGCCAAACTTAGTTACAAAAAAATAAGTTAAGTACCAGGCATAATGTATATGATTAGTAATTACATGGTATATCTTGTGATTCCTAACCATTGCTAGGGTTTATTGTTCAGTCGATAACGTTACGGAAACTGTATTCTGGTTACCGTGCCGCATAACATCTGCCAAAGTTGCAGAGTTGTCTACATTGAATTAAGAAAATAATGTGTTTTTTTCTCTCTTAGTTAAGAAATGGTTTCAATTTTTTTTGCCTGGGAGGAAATTGATTTTCTAGAGATAGAAACTGGTTTATATCACACTGTATCACATAGGAAAACAGAGGACATAGATAAACCTGCCAGGTATGTCTCAATGTTTGGCCTCTTGTAATGCGTCAACTCTCCTTTATAAATACGATAGAGACAAAGCCTGGTATATTTAGGTTAACGTAGTAATATCGATTCTGCCTCCCTGTACTTTCCTTATCCTGATAAACAGTGGACAGAAAGTCGGCTTCTCTGTTACGCTCTATCTTGCTTTCACCGTCTTTCCCGTGATTGTGTATTCGTCACGTCCGTAAACTTTGACAACATCATTGCTGTCGATGTATCTTGTTGTACTTTTGAGTATCGGAGAGACTTTTACCATAATAACAACCTTTCAGAAACATCTGTGCTACTGGGACAATTCTTTTGAACTACCGCCTCCAATGAGAACCTTGTGATATTAACCAGACGGTCGCATTGTTGTAGAAGATCAATATCAAAAACGCAAAGAAAGGCTTAAGTGAAAGAAATTTATATTCAAGATGAACGTATTTATTCACAGAAAAATATCCGAATACAGAGAACATAACAGTTGGATATGAGATGTCTCCAGTGTCAACAAAGCCCAGCTCAAAACCAGAACTTGCAAAAGACAATAGCACGTGACCGGATGTGACATCATCTATTGACCTCACTGCTTCGATGGCTGTTATACTGTATAGGTCAGATTGACGAAGTTTGATTCGTGATGAAGTACTAAGCATGTGACCACGTGATTTGTTCTTTATTGGTGTTTCTTCAAACAATGTGTACATATATCGACAGACCAATCTAATTTTAAAAACAAAAAAAGATAAATGATGAGGGACATGAATAAAGCATATATCACAGGGTGACCCAATTGTAATATCGATTTTGTGACCTCACGGGGTCACTATTTTCTTAATGTTTTATTCTTCGTCATCTAAAATAATTTTATGTCCATAGATAGTTAGAATCCACATTGGCATATATATTTACCCTTCTCTGTCTGAAATTGAAATTTCACAAAACTCAAAATAAAAAAGATATGTAGGAGTTTTAAATCTTTATACACGTTTAACAAAAAAAAACATTTCTTAATGTAGAATGTGAATGTTTGAGGCTATGGCAATGTTTAAACTTTGACCCGGAATATCAATAAGATCTCCTCTTTCTCTGCTTCTGAGTTAGTTTTTAAACTTATTTCCTATCTGTATTGTTATAAGATATAGAGAAAATCACTGACCACGATAGGAGAGTATATGACCTCGGTGCACTTTCTGGTAACAATCGGTGTCTCTAAAACGCTTTACTGTATATCTGATATACGGAAGACAATCCTAGCCATACAAAATATTCTTGCGTACTTCCGGAATTCTACTAAGATTTTACAGGAAATAAGACGGTCGTCGTTGTAGCACTTTACTGCTGTGAGTCCTGGACATTGATGTCTCAGATAAGATAAACAAAAATCATGTTTTAGTTGTCGTTTGTTTACTGGGTTAATCACCCTGTAACCAGCTGATTATGTTGGGTCATTTTGAGGCATGGTCTCCTTGTACGAAAAAGATAAGGTGGCAACGTTTCTGAACATTATACGGAAGGCTCGACGCACGTCATAAAAGGCAATATATGGTGCCTTGCCCAAAGACAAAACCATGACTCTTCCTGAGAAACACAAACCACCCGGAGCAGGAGTTGTTGATCAAGGCATCTCGGACCTGCATTATGACGTTACCAAGTCTCATCCCGAGCAGGAGTTGTTGATCCAGGCATCTCGGACCTGCACTATGAGCTTACCAAGTCTCATCCCGAGCAGGAGTTGTTGATCCAGGCACCTCGGACCTGCACTATGAGGTTACCAAGTCTCATCCCGAGCAGGAGTTGTTGATCCAGGCATCTCGGACCTGCACTATGAGGTTACCAAGTCTCATCCCGAGCAGGAGTTGTTGATCCAGGCATCTCGGACCTGCACTATGAGCTTACCAAGTCTCATCCCGAGCAGGAGTTGTTGATCCAGGCACCTCGGACCTGCACTATGAGCTTACCAAGTCTCATCCCGAGCAGGAGTTGTTGATCCAGGCATCTCGGACCTGCACTATGACGTTACCAAGTCTCATCCCGAGCAGGAGTTGTTGATCCAGGCATCTCGGACCTGCACTATGAGGTTACCAAGTCTCACTCCGAACAGGAGTTGTTGATCCAGGCATCTCGGACCTGCACTATGACGTTACCAAGTCTCATCCCGAGCAGGAGTTGTTGATCCAGGCATCTCGGACCTGCACTATGACGTTACCAAGTCTCATCCCGAGCAGGAGTTGTTGATCCAGGCATCTCGGACCTGCACTATGAGCTTACCAAGTCTCATCCCGAGCAGGAGTTGTCGATCCAGGCACCTCGGACTTGCACTATGAGCTTACCACGTCTCATTTCGAGCAGGAGTTGTTGATCCAGGCACCTCGGACTTGCACTATGAGGTTACCAAGTCTCACCCCGAGCAGGAGTTGTCGATCCAGGCACCTCGGACCTGCACTATGAGCTTACCAAGTCTCATCCCGAGCAGGAGTTGTTGATCCAGGCATCTCGGACCTGCACTATTAGGTTACCAAGTCTCACCCGGAGCAGGAGTTGTTGATCCAGGCATCTCGGACCTGCACTATGAGGTTACCATGTCTCACCCGGAGCAGGAGTTGTTGATCCAGGCACCTCGGACCTGCACTATGAGCTTACCAAGTCTCACCCCGAGCAGGAGTTGTCGATCCAGGCACCTCGAACTTGCACTATGAGCTTACCACGTCTGGCGTTGTTACATTATCTAAAACCTGGACCTGTCTGATACACGCGTTTTTAATTGTTAGCACAGTGTGATTTTGAAAATAAAGAATCCTTGATTACAAAGCATAAAAAACAAGATCAGATGTATGAAGAAATGGCCTATTGTATTTCTTTATTGATAACATAAATAAAATACACAAAATATAGACATAAATAACATAGAAAATACAAAATTTACAGCTTTTTGATGTTAACGTGTTCACTAACCTTTTTACTGAAAACAACAGCTAATTTCACCTTGTCTCACATATTCTTTCATGGGACACATAATTATAAATTCCAGTTCTAAAATAGTTAAGAACATTTCTAAACATTAAAAGATTTAAATGCCATATGTAAAGGGTTCATTTGACGCGGACTGCTTAAGATAGTGAATCAGAAAATACAGTATCGTAATAACCACGACATTGAAATGAATAGAGAACAGATTCCAATGTAAGGGAGAGAACTCTAACAGCTATAGGGAAATCAACTAATCATATATAGCTATTACATTACCTTCAGGATGTTCTCCTTTCAAATTCATCATTTTCTAACATGACGGAAACTGTGTCAAAATACATAGAGGATTGTATGGAAAATTGCCATTAATATCGTATAACACAAAGTAACACTTATTTTATTCCAAGTCAAGTTCGACTCATGTTTGTAATATATGGCCACACAAGTACACAGGATAGACACCAAAACAGACTGAAGTGATTCATGATTGACAACAAGCACCAAGTGTATTACGGTAAACATGCACATAGGTTAGCCATTTACATTTACGACTTTAGCCTTTTTCTTTATCGTGGGTTACAAAACCTGGGCGCTACAAGATCCTTCCCTAAAATCTATAGGTTCATTGTCAGACAACAACGAGGGGAGTCAAGTACTGAATACTCATTCACCTTAAGATTTTTGAACTTCTGAATCAATAAAAAAAATCTTTCGATAGATGACATATTCATATACTGAATAGTACATGTACAAATATATTTATGAACATTTAATTGCAAAACAAGTTATACTTAAAATTGATTGCACATCCTTTTTCTGTAACCGCTATGGCTTGTGAAAGACAGTCAATCCGTCAGATACGATTCAAAGCCAGGAAAATGAGAATGTTTTTAACATCGACTGATAAGTTCTGAGGTGCGTTCCTTTGCAGCTAAGTTTTTTTTCTTAAAGAGTCCGCTTTTCCGATGCAAAGATGTTTCATTATTACATGTAAGATATATCTATGAAACAAATTTCGCCTTCAAAATCTGAGAATTACGTCCCTTTGCATTGGTGTATATGAAGTAGATGTCGCCATCGTCGGTAAAAACTTCCCAGTCCGAGTTCGGAAGCGTTGCCATGACGTGGACGGGTACGAAACCATCCAATCCCTGCCATCGATACATCGCACTGCGTAGCTCCCGCTCCTCGCCGCCATTTTGTGCATTCGATACTAAGAGAAACTTGTCGTCTCCAACAGTGAAAAATTCCCAGTCAACCGCGCTGAAACGAAGGGAAAGCAAATTGTGACTTTTAGTGATCGATTAATAGATACTAGAATTATGAAATGATATAAGTCAGGCCTTGAAAATTATGTGCCACTATGACATTTTGTTGATAATATCAGGCGAAATAAAACGCACAGAAATTAGGGATAAATTGTCAGTGCTTCAAAACATGAAGAAATTGATTTCGCAATTATTGTGACGTTGATGTTTTGAGTGGTTGTGCTTATGTTGTGACGTCATTATATTGGTTGACATTATATAACAGGTATTTGGAGTAAGGCAAATTTAATGCGTAACAATTTCATTTGAATACAATCATTATTTTGATAATTAAAAAAAAAGTATTTGAGACGGTTTCAGGAAAAGCGTAAATGCTGTCTCAGTATTTTTCATTAATATTACGCTTCATGACTTTCCATTTCTGGTAGCTTTTCTGTGTTTCATCAACTCCTGTTGTGTAGATGACATACCTCGCACATGATAACGGTATACAGCTTCACTCTTATAAGACAATAACTTAATAGATATTTTAAAACGTATCTCTTTGTCAAAGTTTTCTAAATCCAGGGGACCACATTCGATTCAGATATCTACCCTGCACTTACTGAATAGGACATGACTAAATCACGCGCCATCTTGTCGATGTTACGACATGACCGGTCAATATTTTTTTGTTACGAAATAATCGCCATCTATTATATATTTTATATACATGTATTTACCAAATAAAATGAAATGTAAACGTCACGAAGTTAAACTTATATAAAATGACATCACCTACCTGTACGTATCAAGGTTCTGAAATCTCTCAAACGCCCGTTTGTTGGTGTTGAGTTTGTATATTGTGGAGTTGGTGTAGTATGTCCTTGTCTTAGAGAAGTTTTGAGGTCCATAGTTGTAAGCATTAGCGACAGCCATGTAAATGATTCCACTGATAGTAAACATCTCCCAGTCGGTGGCGCCATTTGTCTGAAACAACATGTATGAAAGTTTGCGCATTGCGTCATCACTTTTTGTAAAATTGTGTAGGACGACACGAAAAATCCTATTATAACTGTGCTGTGACGTAAATTTTCTTTCGTCAACCCCGTGATCATTAACGCGTTAGTATTGTGTGCAGTGAAAGGGCGACAATTCTCCGTCAAAATGGCTATTTCATTTGACGGATTACAATGTCGATAACGAACTATTTATTTAAGGTCAAATTAAGTTTGGGTATTTTTTTTGCTTTACGTCCTATTAACAGCCATGGTCATTTAAAGACATGCCAGGTTCGGTTGGCGGAGACAAGCCGGGGTTCCCTGAGAAGAACCACCGACCTGTGGTCAGTATCTGGTGACTGTCCCACGTGGGTCTCTAGCCTACGACCCAGAGGTGGCGGGCTAGTGATACAGATGACCAGAGGTAACCACATGACCATCGTGATCCCGTAAATCATTCTAAACCAAAACCATGAGACAAAATGGGAAGGAGATTTCACTGATTGACCCTGAAGATGTGATATATAAACTGTATGACAATTCCCCTTATCTCATGAGTAACGACCACAGAGAGTTACTGAGCAAACGTGTTAGTAGATACATTCAATTAATAGTATACTGAACTTACCTCCATCGTCTGGAAAATGAAGAACTGATCCCCCTGTAGGATATATATTCTGGAGTCCAGCTGGGTGGTAAGACCATCGAAAGCCTGAGCCAGAGCCAGGAACGTGTAGTCCCCGACAGTGAAGTGGGTCCAATCATAGGCTCCCACGGTGTCTATGCGCTGCCTCTCCTGGAACACCTGGGTTGTCACGTTCCACACATAAATCACTGACTCAGTTTTCTGACTGTTCCCTGAAAGGTAAAAACATGTGACGTTTTACACAAAACACAAAAATAACGCTACCGTTTTAACATTCTAACCTATGTTTTATCAACAATGTTGATATTAAACTGAAAAAATGAAAAGAAATTTACAAATTACACTATGGAGTCGCATCTTAATAAAGTTATACTATAATACGTCTGAAACAGATGACGATTCAAGTGAATTCGATGTCATTGTATCAAACTGAAGAACACGTGTGAAATATCGATACAAGATGAATATTCAGTCGCCCAAATAAGCTATCTAAATGCTTGTACCATTTGGTGTTGGAGAGAGTTTTGAATTCATAGTGTTGCGAAATTTTTTTTTTCGTCAATCAAAGTTATATAGAATTATTTCCCATATGTTCATCCTCTTTCTATTTTCCAACAAACTACATGAATTTTCGTACATACATGCCATTGTCGAATACACCCGCAACATATATTTTTGTTGTATTCGGCAGTGACGGAAAACATGTATTTTAGCACGTGCGGTGATTCGACAGAATCACTTCCTAGGTTTACTTGAATATTGCGTTTAACATCATAAATAGTTTTTCCAATTAACAATTTTTGCTGTTGTAATAAACAAATTTATTCGCGAAATTCATAAAATGGCTGTCATATCCATTGATTTTTGGAACTATATTTCCGTGCGGAGCAATTATTTTGGCGTACATCATCAGGCTAAATCCATCTTAACGTAAACGTCAGGTAAACAAAGATTAAACAGCAAAACTGTTTAAGTTTTGATTCTCTGATTTTCAATCAATGTTGCAGGATAGATATAATACATGGTCAGTGTCTTAAGATGTAAGCTCCATTTAGGCTCGGAACAGAAGGACAAAGGTGGCTCGCCAGCTTTGTCTTTCTTCACCATAGCCACAGCTTGTATTTGAAGACACTGACCATATAGTCTCTATAACATTCGATCGAACATCGAAACAGACTTATCTCCCTTCTAACATTAATTAGTATTGCTAGTGGTGTTTTAAGGTCAGTTGATGGGAGAGAATATAGGTTATGTCCCCTTTGTAGAAATGGCAATATTATTACCAGTATATTTATTTGTATGTGAAAATCCAGTGATACTGTACAAATCGTGATTCATTTTTTAGATTTCAAAGCTTTTGTCCAATCCTGTTGCTAAGGAAATGTCAATCAAATTATATTTGAATAAATTCAAACCTTGAGCGTGATTAGCGACTGCGAGGTAGTGTGTTCCGTCCGCCATGAAATATTCAAAATCACGCGCGGTATAGGTCGGAAGCTGCTGGTACTCTTTGAACTTCCGTTTCCTGCGTTGCCATTTGAAGATTGTAGAATTTGTCAGGATGCCATCATCTTGTCCGTAGTTAGCAACTGCAAGGAAAAACTGAAAATATAATAAGTGCTGTATTTTTGACATTGTAGCCTTTTCACATTTTAAATCTATAAATCATCAAACAACGCTGATAAACTTCTTTATTGTGACATCAAGCGCTGTGACATCAAGCGCTGTGACATCAAGCGCTGTGACATCAAGCGCTGTGTCATCAAGCGCTGTGACATCAAGCGCTGTGACATCAAGCGCTGTGTCATCAAGCGCTGTGTCATCAAGCGCTGTGACATCAAGCGCTGTGACATCAAGCGCTGTGACATCAAGCGCTGTGACATCAAGCGCTGTGACATCAAGCGCTGTGTCATCAAGCGCTGTGACATCAAGCGCTGTGACATCAAGCGCTGTGACATCAAGCGCTGTGTCATCAAGCGCTGTGTCATCAAGCGCTGTGTCATCAAGCGCTGTGTCATCAAGCGCTGTGTCATCAAGCGCTGTGTCATCAAGCGCTGTGTCATCAAGCGTTGTGTCATTAAGCGCTGTGACATCAAGCGCTGTGACATCAAGCGCTGTGACATCAAGCGCTGTGACATCAAGCGCTGTGACATCAAGCGCTGTGACATCAAGCGCTGTGACATCAAGCGCTGTGTCATCAAGCGCTGTGACATCAAGCGCTGTGTCATCAAGCGCTGTGACATCAAGCGCTGTGTCATCAAGCGTTGTGTCATTAAGCGCTGTGTCATCAAGCGCTGTGACATCAAGCGCTGTGACATCAAGCGCTGTGTCATCAAGCGCTGTGTCATCAAGCGCTGTGACATCAAGCGCTGTGTCATCAAGCGCTGTGACATCAAGCGTTGTGTCATCAAGCGCTGTGACATCAAGCGCTGTGACATCAAGCGCTGTGTCATCAAGCGCTGTGACATCAAGCGCTGTGACATCAAGCGCTGTGACATTAAGCGCTGCAACTAACACTCTCAATGGAATGATTTCGATTTTATTTCAGTAAGCTTAGAAGACATCACGCTTAATGTGATAATTATTACATTAAGCGTAGTTATTACAGTTAGAGTACCAGCAACGCGCTACTATAGATCTCACAAAATATAAGAAGCTGCAGACGCCCTGTGCTACATTGCACTGAATTATTTTACATGTAATAGAACGTAAATTTGCTTTGTTTTCAATTGTTATCGAGAGTAATAAGACAACTAATGAAAATTCGAAAATCAAATGTGTATTTTGCTTCGAACATCAAAATCCTTGTCTAAAATAAAACTGTTCTCAGTGAACTGACACTAACTCTCGGAGTTGTCGCGTCGTGATAAACAAATAACGTTTTCATGAATCACTGTGATGTTTGTTTATCCATTATGGATATTAAACTGATCCAAAGATTGAAATCTATATATGCGTTCACACTGAAATAATTCCGTAAAAATCTACATTGATGATCGAAATCGGGACGAAATATCCGGAAAAAAGAGATTCTCTAGATCCGATTATCAGATTAAATTATAATAAATTGAATGTAGAAGGTAAGAGACTTACAGAGTCATCTACCGTGAAGAACTCCCAAGCCTGTGCCATGTTGGTTTTCAATCTTTGGTATAAAGTCCAAGATTTATCCGTCCATTTGTAGAGAGCTGACACGTCCGGCCGCTTTCTTCCGGAACAAGCAAACACGGCGAACATGCCTTCCTCCGGGATAGTGAATATCTCCACGTCTATAGAGGGCCCAGGGGTACGTAGTTCTTGGTAAAACTCTAAATAGTCCAGGCGTTTCGGCTCTGGTTTCTTTTCTATAAATATAAAGTTTTATTTAATAAACTAATAATCAATCACTAAAATCTAGAGATATTGGTATATATATGTGTATGTGTGAGGATGTGAGGGGCGTGTATGTGTGAGGGTGTGAGGGGCGTGTGTGTGTGTGAGGGTGTGAGGGGCGTGTGTGTGTGAGGGTGTGAGGGGCGTGTATGTGTGAGGGTGTGAGGGGCGTGTATGTGTGAGGGTGTGAGGGGCGTGTGTGTGTGAGGGGCGTGTATGTGTGAGGGTGTGAGGGGCGTGTATGTGTGAGGGTGTGAGGGGCGTGTGTGTGTGAGAGTGTGAGGGGCGTGTGTGTGTGAGGGTGTGAGGGGCGTGTATGTGTGAGGTTGTGAGGGGCGTGTGTGTGTGAGGGGTGTGAGGGTGTGAGGGTGTGAGGGGCGTGTATGTGTGAGGGTGTGAGGGGCGTGTATGTGTGAGGGTGAGAGGGGCGTGTGTGTGTGAGGGTGTGAGGGGCGTGTGTGTGTGAGGGTGTGAGGGGCGTGTGTGTGTGAAGGTGTGAGGGGCGTGTGTGTGTAAGGGTGTGAGGGGCGTGTATGTGTGAGGGTGTGAGGGGCGTGTATGTGTGAGGGTGTGAGGGGCGTGTATGTGTGAGGGTGTGAGGTTGTGAGGGGCGTGCGTGTGTAAGGGTGTGAGGGTGTGAGGGGCGTGTGTGTGTGAGGGTATGAGGGGCGTGTGTGTGTGAGGGTGTGAGGGGCGTGTATGTGTGAGGGTGTGAGAGGCGTGTGTGTGTGAGGGTGTGAGGGGCGTGTGTGTGTGAGGGTGTGAGGGGCGCGTGTGTGTGTGTGTGTGAGGGTGTGAGGGGCGTGTGTGTGTGATGGTGTGAGGGGCGTGTATGTGTGAGGGTGTGAGAGGCGTGTGTGTGTGATGGTGTGAGGGGCGTGTGTGTGTGATGGTGTGAGGGGCGTGTGTGTGTGAGGGTGTGAGGGGCGTGTGTGTGTGAGGGTGTGAGGGGCGTGTATGTGTGAGGGTGTGAGGGGCATGCGTGTGTGAGGTTGTGAGGGGCGTGTGTGTGTGAGGGTGTGAGGGGCGTGTGTGTGTGAGGGTGCGAGGGGCGTATGTGTGTGAGGGTGTGAGGGGCGTGTATGTGTGAAGGTGAGAGGGGCATGTGTGTGTGAGGGTGTGAGGGGCGTGTTTGTGTGAGGGTGTGAGGGGCGTGTGTGTGTGAGGGTGTGAGGAGCGTGTATGTGTGAGGGTGTGAGGGGCGTGTTTGTGTGAGGGTGTGAGGGGCGTGTATGTGTGAGGGTGAGAGGGGCGTGTGTGTGTGAGGGTGTGAGGGGCGTGTGTGTGTGAGGGTGTGAGGGGCGTGTGTGTGTGAGGGTGTGAGGGGCGTGTGTGTGTAAGGGTGTGAGGGGCGTGTATGTGTGAGGGTGTGAGGGGCGTGTATGTGTGAGGGTGTGAGGGGCGTGTATGTGTGAGGGTGTGAGGTTGTGAGGGGCGTGCGTGTGTGAGGGTGTGAGGGTGTGAGGGGCGTGTGTGTGTGAGGGTATGAGGGGCGTGTGTGTGTGAGGGTGTGAGGGGCGTGTGTGTGTGAGGGTGTGAGGGGCGTGTGTGAGGGTGTGAGGGGCGTGTATGTGTGAGGGTGTGAGAGGCGTGTGTGTGTGAGGGTGTGAGGGGCGTGTGTGTGTGAGGGTGTGATGGGCGCGTGTGTGTGTGTGTGTGAGGGTGTGAGGGGCGTGTGTGTGTGATGGTGTGAGGGGCGTGTATGTGTGAGGGTGTGAGAGGCGTGTGTGTGTGATGGTGTGAGGGGCGTGTGTGTGTGATGGTGTGAGGGGCGTGTGTGTGTGAGGGTGTGAGGGGCGTGTGTGTGTGAGGGTGTGAGGGGCGTGTATGTGTGAGGGTGTGAGGGGCATGCGTGTGTGAGGTTGTGAGGGGCGTGTGTGTGTGAGGGTGTGAGGGGCGTGTGTGTGTGAGGGTGCGAGGGGCGTATGTGTGTGAGGGTGTGAGGGGCGTGTATGTGTGAAGGTGAGAGGGGCATGTGTGTGTGAGGGTGTGAGGGGCGTGTATGTGTGAGGGTGTGAGGGGCGTGTGTGTGTGAGGGTGTGAGGGGCGTGTATGTGTGAGGGTGTGAGGGGCGTGTATGTGTGAGGGTGTGAGGGGCGTGTGTGTGTGAGGGTGTGAGGGGTGTGTGTGTGTGAGGGTGTGGTGTGAGGGGCGTGTATGTGTGAGGGTGTGAGAGGCGTGTGTGTGTGAGGGTGTGAGGGGCGTGTGTGTGTGAGGGTGTGAGGGCGTGTGTGTGTGAGGGTGTGAGGAGCGTGTGTGTGTGAGGGTGTGTGATCCAGTGTGTGTGTGTGTGTGTGTCAGGGTGTGTGATCCAGTGTGTGTGTGTGTGTCAGGGTGTGTGTGTATGCAGGGTGTTTGTGTGAGGGTGTGTGTGTGAGGATGTGGTGTGAGGGTGAGGGTGTGTGTGAGGGTGTGTGTGTCAGGGTGTGTGAGAGAGGATGTGTGTATGAGGAGAGGTGGGTGTGTGTGTCTGTTTGTGGGCATGTGGACATATTTCAATAACTATTTAAGTATCAAATTTCAGCAAATAAATCATGAGATTTATGATTAAATACACTAGAACATTTTATTCATATTGACAGCAAAGTCTTACAAGTTCATAATTGAGACGTATGACACCCAATAAAACATTTACTGCGTCATTAACGCTGATAACATCTGCTTCCTTGTAAAACAGATTGGTTGTCACTCCTGGACAGAAACTGTGTTACTTCACGATGATATAGATGATAACTCCTGTTCTAACATACCATACCATCTAAGTCCCCCAAACAAAACCTGGGGACACAATGACTCGTGACGTCATACCTGGTACGCTGACTGTGACGTGTTGCCAGATGCCGTTAACACAGACTTTTAGAGACTCAGAGTGGAGGTCATATGCCACGTTACCCACGTCCATCCATGTGCAATCCTCCCAGCGTGGACCAGGGGAGGCAATCCCGTACAAATCTGAAACAATTAGGTGTCCAACATGGCTTTCATTGGTTCATATGGTTACAACGTTTTCACAGATGTTATGTAGATAAGGGTATTTTTATCCAAAGTTGTCGATCCTTTCATTCAAGAACTGCAGAGATGTACCCTACTGGAAAGAAACTTAATCTACATATATTAAATTTTCAACTTTTTCTTATATTTGGAATTTATTGCTGAAATATCAGTGGATAAGGGTTTATTGTAACATGTGTGTATTTACACTTTCAGTCGGGTTTTACGTGTGTGTATTTACACTTTCAGTTGGGTTTTACGTGTGTATATTTACACTTTCTGTCAGATTTTACGTGTGTGTATTTACACTTTCTGACGGGTTTTACGTGTTTGTATTTACAATTTCTGTCAGATTTTACGTGTGTGTATTTACACTTTCTGTCGGGTTTTACGCGTGTGTATTTACACTGTCAGACTTTACGTGTGTGTATTTACACTTTCTGTCAGATTTTACGTGTGTGTATTTACACTTTCTGTCAGATTTTACGTGTGTGTATTTACACTTTCTGTCAGATTTTACGTGTGTGTATTTACACTTTCTGTCAGATTTTACGTGTGTGTATTTACACTTTCTGTCAGGTTTAACGTGTGTGTATTTACACTTTCTGTCAGATTTTACATGTGTGTATTTACACTTTCTGTCAGATTTTACATGTGTGTATTTACACTTTCTGTCAGATTTTACGTGTGTATATTTACACTTTCTGTCAGATTTTACGTTGTGTATTTACACTTTCTGTAAGATTTTACGTGTGTGTATTTACACTTTCTGTAAGATTTTACGTGTGGATATTTATAACTTTCTGTAACACTGGACCTGTGTATATATTTCGATGTAGATGTAAATATCACAGTGTCTAAATATATGTTTAAATGTGATGATCTGAGTGTTCATATTTTTAGAAATGTCATCCCATGCCCTGCACGTTATCCCATTACCTGGAAGAGAAGGCAGTCGGTTGTCCATGTGTGTGTGTTTAGGTATTCGTGGTGGACAGGCCCTTCTAACGGCATCAGCTCCCGGAACCCAGACCAGATCCTTCAGGATTCCCTGAACGAAACAACACAATTTTTAATATTTCTCAAGTCTGATATAATGGCTAAATATTAACATTATTTTGAAACAGATAAGCGAAGTCAGATAGATTCCGCCTGATATCCTTTTCGGTTGTCCGAAAGATGTTAGAGTAAAGCATATATTCTGTTTGTTCCATATAACTGCCACAAAATTCTGTTGAAATAAAAAGAAGGACGTAAATTACTCGCCGCGCATTCATATTGAGGAACTGAGTGAAGCGGCGGAAATGTCGATTGGTAGAAAGCAGCATCATTATAAATGCTTGTATGTAAATAGTACAGACATGTATATCAACAAACTTAGTCATAACTAAGTAGTGATCAAAGACAAATCGATAATTTGATAAATAGAATGTAAAAATATCATATCCAATCAGAGGCCGATGTGGTGATCTTAGATTTGGGATTATCCCTCACTGACCTCGCAAACGCTTTGTATATTTAACCTACTAACGACCATTTGAAAATATATATTATGCCAACATATGAACCTATGGGTGTTGTATGTAGACAGTCCCCCGCTGAAAGGCCGTTAGAATGGATGAAAAAAATTCGTTAAAAATAAATAATAAAAATAGAACAATATGTATATATTCATAGCTTACATGTAAACTTGTGGGTTACATCGGAGTTATCTCCCTTTTATGTAGCTTGACATGTCCTCGTGTGCAATATGATGTTTGTCTACGGTCATGAATAACACAACAAGACAGCCCACGTGTTCGTATTATGGCCATTGCAGCTTGATTAAAATTAAATTATTTTTCACTACATGGTAGGATAAGGCAATCTGTTTAACAGGACAGCCAATTTGACGGCGAACTGTCGTCGTCTCTATTCCTAAAAGACTGACGTCATATTAGTCACGCGCTGAATGGCATTTATAGTATCGTAAATCACGCTCAGTTTTGGTTAGTTTATAAAATGCCAATACCGAGCTTATGTAAATATTCATTTATATCAATTAGCATTGTAGTTAATCATGACCACAATTTATATTCATTATCAATTAATTAAGATTATAATTTAGTGGCTTTCTACTGTAAAACTAATTATGAAAGATATTTCCATCATTATGGTAGCATCCCTCCTTTCATTTATTTAAATGTTACACAAGCCTTGGAATACGTTCTCCAATACTGCACCACCAAGACGATAGACCTAATTAACAGTGAGCGACGCTTTGATAGAAATTAAGATTTTTATGAAGCGTGACATCAAACTCTTTTATTTCCGAATCCATGTTTACTGTTCATTCAACTTTGACCTCTAAGGTCTCCTTTCCGTTACAAGACTTAACAGATCCACCATCAGACAATCTCGTGTTGTAATCTCGTTTAAACATCTCGCGGTGTTATCTATCTCTGAGTCAGCACCATGACACCCAAGAACCATCGGAAGTTTGACATGGATCCTAGATAGATTTAATCAGGCCTACCAAAGCCTGTAATCATTCCTCAATTAGACACAAATTGATGTCTAAAGTGTCATTTAAGTCGCCAAAGATCAACATCAGGGTTGAAAACAGGATTTACGGTTAAGGCGTGTCTATACAAACATGGGCGTGGCTTATTGTGATTGATAAATAATGTGCGGATATTATTACATAATACGTTTTTAAAGAAATCTCTATAACTTTATATTAGTTTAACATACCCTTTGTTTGTAAATCTACACCTACATCTGTACATAACATTGTCTCCTGTACTGCTGGTCGTAACATCATAAATGAATACATTGTATATATGTGTATTTTGGTATTGCGGAAGGATTAAATTTCAGGAACAAACAGGTCTATGTGTTCAACCGCAGTAAGAAGATCCGCGGATGGATACGCAAAAAAATGGTCATGACCCATTGACTTGACCTTATGTATGATAAACATACAACAAAACCACATTGTACCACGTCGCTGTCTTTTCAAGGACAGTTCATCACGTGATCACTATAAATATGTAGTCACTACAAATATGAATAAATGTAGACATTATACATCAACTTCATTCGGTCAATTTTAAATCCGGATAGAACGAAAGTGTGCAAATATATTTTGATATAGGAGATTGAACCATTCTGCAAAAACACTTACCCGTACAACCCCGCTTCCAGCTCGACAGCTTGCTATTTGGAATGTCCCATTTTGAAAAGGAATATTTGCAGGAAACTTTCTCTTTAAGCGCTTCCTTTTCCTGTTCCGACAGTCTGTCGTCATAATGACGTCACTTCCTGTTACACTCAATCCTATTGTATGCCATTTATTGTCTAATAAAGCTGTGTTCCTAAACTTCACTCTCCGACTATTATACACAAGCATGATATATTTATTTGTCAAATTTATAGACAGAATAGAAGTGATTTGATTTCGCACTCTAAGTAAACACTCTTTTTTCCCATATACTCGTCTATGTTTTATAACAAAAAATATTGAAAATTCTTCTGGGAATTTGGAACATTTGTGAAAAAGAGGCTGTGATCTTAATTGCACATCAGTTGAATCTTCGTTGAACTCAAATGCGTGAACGTGACTTGAGGTATCATAAACGACCTTGACCCCAACCGGAAGTTGCCCGTCCATCGGTAGTGCCTCCTCAATTAGATCGGTTGACATCAGACCTGAGAAAGATATAGAAATAAATGTTTAAACATCTAAATGACGCTGTCTCAATCAATGTCGTAATGATTAAATAACGATTCATTTGTTTCGGCTGCACTGAATATTCTCTTTCCGGGGATGTTGATTGTGTTGCTGTTAATGATGGCCCCACCTACCTCCTCAGTATAACTTATCTATAGTGATGGTATTGTCAGACTTGTGGAAACCTTGTTTTTATCCCGATATCTGAGATGTATTTATCATAATGTTGTGGTAGGATAACAATTTATTGAATCTACTGAAGGTTTTTTTTATATCAAAAGGCTGATGAGATGTTGTTTTTTTTTTTTACACATTTCTTATTTCATAAGTAATAGATATTGACCTCTGACCTCTAAACTTAATAGCGAAATGCTATGGTGTGATTATGAACCTAAAGTATAGAGAGTTTCATAATTGAAAGGTTCATAATTTTTGTTTTGTTTTATTTTCGTTTTTTTCTCTTTCCAAAGTGGTCAAGGATGACGTTAAACCTTTAACCTCGACCGACAAGTATTAAAGATAGATCCGATGTAGATCATGGTGGGTAGAATCTATGGTGAGAACATTAAATGGTTTAAACATATTAGATAAATGGATCAGAGACAAATTCTAGCAACTTATGAACTCTTCTCCATAAATAAAATTACAAATAATTAATATACTGCACGTGACACATATTTATACTACGAATATGAAGATACGTAATTCGTAGACGCACAATTGTAAGTTTAAATCATTTTGTCAAGAGGAGGAAAAGATGAGATCATAGGATAGAAAGAAAAGAAGAGAAAAAGAGATAGTGTAGATTTTATATCAATCTTATATCAACACTGGGCTCGTCAAATATCTTGTACACGCTTTTTTTATTTGACACACCGCTTTACCTAAATGAGGATATATACATATTGCTACAAATGTCAATTGATTCTTGTTTATGTGATGAAACATGTCATTGTTTGTTTGAAGGGAAATTAGCCTACACTATCTGTTCGGCATTGTATTGTTAATTTGCCATGCCATTTACTTTGTCATCTCTCACTAAAACACCTATTTCAGTAAACGTTACATTTAAGCTTTGAAGGTTTAAATAGAACACAAAACTTGTCATTTATATTACATGGCTTAATCAAGCTCGACTCATTATTTTCGGAACAACAAGTCATAAATCGCGCTGACAGCCGCTTGATCTACGGGCTAATCATGGGGTCAAATGCGCTACCGTGTCTTTTTGTAGGGTCAGTAATTCTAGAACCGAATGACGGTAATGACAGTTCCGGATCTAAGGGATCACGCGATAGCATCAGACACGGGCGATTGCTGGGTGTGATATTCGGGTCAGGTTAACGAGACTGCTTACTGGGGTCAGAACAAGAATCGCTTATGTGTTTAGTTGGAGGATGATGATAAACGCTCGTGTTCCCGGTGTATGTTCTAAGGTCTTTAACGCCTGGGTGGCACTCGTCATCTAGACTTGAAGGGAACCGGAATCAGCCGAGCTTTGTCGAATGACATGGGTGGTAGACCTGGTACAGACGGCGAAACTATCTTTGAACTCAAATGTAGAAAGTGTACATTGTCAGTATAACAATTCATTAACAACAAATTCAAACCGTTTTTGATTGATATTGTGAAAGTCTTACAAAAAAATATCATATCTCTAAACAGGTTGACTTATTTTTATTATTGATTAGCAAAAAATATCAAAATAACGTTTCGATTTATCTTTTTTCTGTTATAACATATGCATGCTGTTTTGCAATGTTATCTCTTTTTAATTTATGTTTTTTCGCATCAAGAATCGTTCAATTTACGGTGAGTACAATGCACCTGGATAACAGGACTGACGTGCAATGTAAAGGGAGATAACCCGTTCAATAATTGATATTTCTATGTAAAACATACTCGACACATCCTACACATTAAGACCGTAGTATTTCACTATGACGACAGTGTTCCTGTACAGATAGTCACTGACTTTGTGATCGCTGCGGTTTACCGCAAAACCACAGAAACCACCTTCCTGGGGCAATGCATTGTATCGCGACGGCCTGCTGTAGGTAGCAGTTCAAATTGGTACAAATGAACGTGTTCCACTGTCAAAGAACCGGCAATTCTAACATGTATATACCGGAGACTCGAAAATGCAGACATGTATATACCGGAGACTCGATAATCCAGACATGTATATACCGGAGATTCGATAATCCAGACATATATATACACCGGAGATTCGATAATCCAGACATGTATATACCGGAGATTCGATAATCCAGACATATATATACACCGGAGATTCGATAATCCAGACATGTATATACCGGAGACTTGACAATTCAGACATGTATATACCGGAGACTCGACAATCCGGACATGTATATACCGGAGACTCGACAATTCAGACACGTATATACCGGAGACTCGACAATTCAGACAGGTATATACCGGAGACAGGACAATTCAGACAGGTATATAACGGAGACTCGACAATTCAGAACGGTATATACCGGAGACAGGACAATTCAGACATGTATATACCGGAGACTCGACAATTCAGACAGGTATATACCGGAGACAGGACAATTCAGACAGGTATATACCGGAGACTCGACAATTCAGACAGGTATATACCGGAGACAGGAAAATTCAGACAGGTATATGCCGGAGACTCGACAATTCAGAACGGTATATACCGGAGACAGGACAATTCAGACTTGTATATACCGGAGACTCGACAATTCAGACAGGTATATACCGGAGATTCGATAATCCAGACATGTATATACCGGAGACTCGACAATTCGGACAGGTATATACCAGAGACTCGACAATTCAGATATATATATATATGTATATACCGGAGACTCGATAATCCAGACAGGTATATACCGGAGACTCGATAATCCAGACATGTATATACCGGAGACTCGATAATCCAGACAGGTATATACCGGAGACTCGATAATCCAGATATGTATATACCGGAGACTCGACAATTCAGAACGGTATATACCGGAGACAGGACAATTCAGACATGTATATACCGGAGACTCGATAATCCAGACAGGTATATACCGGAGACCCGATAATCCAGACATGTATATACCGGAGACTCGACAATCCAGACATATATATACCGGAGACTATTGTATATAATTAAAATGAAGAAAAAGGAGACTGAGTTCTCGGTTCTGTTTCGACCCTTCATCAGTCAGTTACTGTACAGAGTAAAGATGAAGAGAGTGGAGACTGAGTTCTCGGTTCTGTTTCGACCCTTCATCAGTCAGTTACTGTGCAGAGTAAAGATGAAGAGAGAGGAGACTGAGTTCTCGGTTCTGTTTCGACCCTTCATCAGTCAGTTACTGTACAGAGTAAAGATGAAGAGAGTGCAGACTTAGTTCTCGGTTATGTTTCGACCCTTCATCAGTCAGTTACTGTACAGAGTAAAGATGAAGAGAGAGGAGACTTAGTTCTCGGTTCTTTTTCGACCCTTCATCAGTCAGTTACTGTACAGAGTAAAGATGAAGAGAGAGGAAACTTAGTTCTCGGTTATGTTTCGACCCTTCATCAGTCAGTTACTGTACAGAGTAAAGATGAAGAGAGAGGAGACTTAGTTCTCGGTTCTGTTTCGACCCTTCATTAGTCAGTTACTGTACAGAGTAAAGATGAAGAGAGAGGAGACTTAGTTCTCGGTTATGTTTCGACCCTTCATCAGTCAGTTACTGTACAGAGTAAAGATGAAGAGAGTGCAGACTGAGTTCTCGATTCTGTTTTGACCCTTCATCAGTCAGTTACTGTACAGAGTAAAGATGAAGAGAGGGCAGACTGAGTTCTCGGTTCTGTTTCGACCCTTCATCAGTCAACTGCTTACGTCAGCCGAAGAATGATACCATGGAAAGAAAGCACTCTAATTCTTTAATGTGTAAATAGCTAGCTCATTTTCATTTTACCACTGCCCCACGCTTGCCCTACGTCAGACATCGGACATCAAAGTGCCTATAACTGATATGAAATTGGACGAAATGTTTGGTCGCTCTTAGTGTTTTTTTATAACTTCTGTATGTATGGCAATCGCTGCATTTTTCACGTCTAAATCAGGTTACCAATCAGTTATCGTACAAAGGTACTTAAAACGATATTTTCCAGTACGTCTCAGTCCAGAGCCACGCCCTCTTCCAATTAACGAAGTCGATCCGCTTTATTCCGTGATGGAGCGTTGATTCTAACCTGCATTTAAAGTGGAGTGGTCGTTTCAGGGTGATTGTCGTCTTTGATGTTGCCGCTAGGGCAGGTAACATAAGGTATGGTGTACCTGTTGGACGGACGCATGGTCGTCATGAAGGTGAACATAGAAGGTAAATAGTACGATCAAGGAAACACCCCTCAATCTCAGCCCTAAACTCCAGCTACATATTGAAGCTTAACACTTAATAAAAATCAATTCTACACTGCAAAGCGAATATTAGATCGGGGAAAATGCTACATAATGAAATTTGCAGAAGTGTTTTTTATACAAATTTTCGTGTTTCCGATTTGTATTATTTCAATCCATAAATGAGCAGTTTGTTTGTTCTGTAAAACTGACAAAACTTTTTTTTTACCTGTGACGATCTTGTTATATTCTCTATAGGATTACACCCTTGCCTTTGATAGCTAAACCCTTCTTACACACAGTCCACAATCACTGGTAACGCTCGTCCCGTTAAGGACCAAATCTGTTGACTTTGTCTATCTCAATAGGGATATATATAAGTTAATAGGCAAATCCAATTTATATATATTGAATCTACCGTTTATAAGAAATCGGATTGTGTTACATAGAGTTTAGTGACATTGACATGAACAGTTCATCAGAAATCAGATATTATTACCGGCGGTATGGACATAGGTCTTACCCTTACCCGAGTGGCATACATAGTAACCCTAGCACAGGAATTCGACGAAGGCGAGTTATACATTTATAGTCTTTTGATGAGGTCGA